GTTTGACCTCATCGTGTCGTGTCGGCGAGGTTGGAAGTGGGTCAACTCCCCGAAGGCACCTTGGTCGAGGCACTATTGTATCCATCTATTACTGAAAATAGTCTTGCAATGCGTAAAATTTGTGAAATTTGTGAAGCTAGTCAGTGATTGGTCTTAACCAAACCAATCAGAATGCAGTCTCAAGTGTGGCCACTAATATGTTTTGTTTATATGAATAGTTAATGTCGGTTTCTTCATTACTTCATGGCTCCTCAATTTTTCAAAGAAAATCCACTCATACTCTTAGCTTTTAGAATGGTCTTTGTCATGAGCGGTTATAGTTTAGTTATAGTTAAGCTTTAAAAGTCGAAAATTTTCTTGATTGTTAACCTCCCGTGCTAATGAAAATACATGGAATTCATTGAAAACGAGTTAATCTAGGTTTAAAGTAAACTGTTTATCTTCGAGGTAAACTGTTGGCTTCACTGCACTGTTTCGTAAAAAGATTACGCTTTTCAAGTTGAGGAATGACTGATTTAGTCGATTTCACACTTTTCAAAATGGCGGTTTCTTAGACTTACATAATGACGGAATTTCAGATAAAGTCCGAAAACAGTAACGAGAATGGGTCGTTTACTGCAACTATTATTAAAATAGAAAACTTTTAAAAGAAGGAGAGGAATTGACATTCAATTTAATTTTCAGTTCAAGTCCACCAACTCCAATCGGTGGTAATGATCAGACGACGTGCTTAAATTTTTCCCATATCCTCAACTCTCCGATCGAACCTCTGGTTCACTTTCCAGGACACACGTTGAGGGACTCGGAAAAAGTAATTCTTTTGTGGGAATACAACGCATTAACCAGAGGTAGATATTGTTCAACACCAATAAGTAGAGCAGCTTTCTCGCCCCGGTATCTGGGACAAATCGATAATATTGTAGGCTATGAAAAAGGCTATAAAGCCTCTGTTCTCTCAGCATAGGTATGAAACTCTTTTTGATCCACAATTGACAATAAAGTTTAGTTTGGGGTGGGAGGGGGGGGGAGGGTGGTTTCTCTGTTTCTTGCAAAAAGATTTCAGATGAAGAGATCAATTTGACTTAAGTTAAAAAAAGGTTTAACGTGCAGATTTAATGCAAATATTTCATAATGTTCATACACTAAAAACAAATATGTCCTCATTTATATCGATTTGTCTTTTAAGGTTAATTACATCTACCCGTTATATATATATATATATATATATATATATATATAGCACTCTTAAGAATTGACGGGCTTTCCACTAGTGCAAATTAAGCCGACTCAGATAAGACACTTTCATTGTCGGTAGTTTATATGTCGAAATTTCAAGCGGTTGGATCTACAGGCGCTAATACGAGAAATTGACTACAGTATTCATCCGACTCATCATTGCCTCGCATTTTAATGAGGTGGTTACAAATAGTTGAATTAATACCTATGTGCCTTTGAGGTGCCATGAGAACACCGTTCGAATAACGGATTAGGTGTGGGCTAAAGTAGACTAGCGTTGATGACTGTGGAATAACTATCATTAAGAGAAATCGATGTTAACCCCAACTCTTAATATTATATAGATGGGACGTGGTAGATTGAAATCGTGGTGAATTTATGCAATACTGTTAATATACTTAACTATTAGAATAACCAATTGAAACCAATGGAAAGGAGTGTATATTATTATCTAATATTAAAAATCGATTTGTTCGGAGATATGAATAGGTTTGGGACATGGAATATTCATATTTATCGCGGAATGGGAAAAAGAAGGCTGGCTTCTGTTCCTCTTGCCAAGCATTCATTCGAGCTAGGCTTCAGTAGGAAGGTACGCTGTAAAGATATTCGGGGTGTTAAGACCTTGAAGTTAAATTGAAGTCACTTGGCTTGTTGTCAAGTGAAGATCTGTAGATTGCAACTGTCCTTTCGCAAATCAAATGCAAAATTGAAAACTTCACTCCTCTCATTCCAAATTGTCTTGCTAATTAGATTACACCATTGCAATCAATTTAAACTATTGAGAATCCAACGAATTATCCATTAAAGTTGATATTTTTGTGGGGGAGTGGGGGGGGGGCAATATGTTAGGCATAGCACTTTCACTAGGTGAACTGGCAGTCTTTTTCGATCTGATTTATTAGCAAATCATGCCAATTTTAACATCCACACAATTAGAAACTTAGAAATGCAAACATATAATTATCAAAGAAATGTTTCATCATTTGAATGCAGGCCTTATCTACTTTTTTTCATATTTTTTAAATACTGGGACTTTTATCCCGGCTACCGAGAGAGCCCACATCATGAGACCGTTTTGACAACTGTGTTGCTGCGTTAGATGACTGGTCATCTTTAATGTTGGACACTATTTCCTTAACCAATGAATCCACAACATAAGGCTCCAATTGTTGCCTATTTGTAGTTCGATTTGTCGTAGTTTATTACAATTGCACTTCACTTTAATCTAAGCAGTCTAAGTAATCACGACCATCGAGAAAGGAGAAAAGATGGTATTGGCATGGTGAAATCGAGCCTACTTATTAGGCTCTTTTAGTCAGAAGCGCTGAATGGCAGAAATTTCAGTGCAGACGATCTGGACACGAAACTAAGCCGTCGGTACTTAATAGCAAAGGCAGTTTTATGACTTAGGTTACATCAACCAATATACAGAATTATCATCAGTGGCCCTAAGGTCAAAATGGCTATTAAACGCAGTGGACAGCAACTATCCTTTCGGTCACGAAGTCATAAAAAACACCCTGAGATGAATTTATTGGCCAGTGTGCTCAGGGTAGAACACATTCGCCTGCTTTTGTTGCTTAATTGTATTTGTTGGTGATGGTGAATATATATAAAAAGTCATTTGCTTTGTCTTATAAAGACGAAATTAAAATCAAATAACTCCGCATTTGTTACCACGGAGCAGACCGGATGAGGAAAGGGGATCGGATTATTAAACTCGGCAGGCATGACCCAACTAAGTCAGTGGGTCATAGACCAGATAAAAACGGTTCACCTTTGTATGCAGAAGTTTAATGAAGTGCACCTCAGTTCAATATTGAAAAAAAGCACTCCACGTTATCGACGTTTTCAATTTAAGGAAGACGCGCGCGCACTGAAGTATTATGTACCTTATATTAGCAGAACGAACTGTTGAAAGGACACTTATTAACCTTTCTCGAATAAATAACTAGCAAATGGACTTGTTTGACTTTAACATACCTCTTTCCTAGCTGGAATCAAAATGGTTTTTTGGAGTGTTAGTTTAAGAGTACCTCTATAAAAGGTCATAGATTCGATATATACTTCGATGTACGCCTGGTGAGCGAACTACAATTATGAAATCAAGCTCCAAACAATTGGACTTTCCCACCAGAACTGTTTTACTCAACAAGTGTCAGATAATATTTAGTATTAAAATGAGATATTCTCAACTTCGCCTCAACCTTATTAATATCTCGTTCAGACTGCAAACCTAATCAATTAGTGAAGCATTTTCTGGTTGCTTAGATAAATCAACCTTCGCATAAATACTGCGTTCCTGCTTTTAGCAAACTGAACACAGCTATTCAACCCCTCTTCCAATATACTAATATATATATATACAAATTGGGAGGAAATTGCCTATTCTTCAACTTCAACTGAGTAGAGGCATTGCACTGACCAGTAATCTTCTCGTCTATTATGTAAGTACATCAGGTACCTTTTATCAGGTTTATAAACAAACTAGTCTTAGTTTCATACACGTTGATGAAAAGCAACAAAGCACATGACTACTAAAACCCACATATTCAAAGCATCAAAACGACAACTGAAATTAAAAGTAATTATTATTTCACCCTGCAAATACAGAGAACAGGTAGGGTATGTATATCCAGACAAAGGACACAGAAGGGAAAGAAAGCAGACACATATCACTTGCAAAAAAAGAAAAAAAACAACATTCGCATCGTTCGGGCGAAAAATTGATGGGAAGGAAATGTCTTTAATGAGGCGCTTACGAACATAACGGGGTGGAAGAAGTGCTAAATTCGATGCATTATTTACCATTAGTGAGCAATTTACAAACATTCGAAATAAAGATGTACTACTTAAATCGATGTAAGTAGTAAGGAAATTTACATCTCAGAAAATGCAGTCGCTGAAGAAAGAATCAGTTCGAGGAACCACGACGACTACTTCGATTGTTAGTTACTGTCGACGTGGAAGGAATGGGTTGAGGAGGAACGGCAGAGGAGTGATTGTTATTGGCTGTTGTGGAAGATTGGACCAAACCTGAGCGTTTTATGGTTTCGACCACATTCTGCGGCAGATAGCCCAATTCTATTTAAAAAAATTTAAAAGAAAATGCTTACGCTCTACTGATATGAAAAGCAGCAACGTTATTAAAAGATTAACTTCGAATAGGCTACCAATTACAGTAATCGAATTTTATCTCAACTTATCAAGATTTGGAGGTCAGCTATCTGAATGCAAACCACCCAGCGGAATTTAATAGAAAATGCAACAACTACTACAGTAAAGACAATTTTTCATTGGGTTGGCTAGGCCTGGTTAGAGTACATTAACAACTAGAGCAAAAAATTGCTGCGAAGCATTTAAATCAAAGGAAGAGTAGAATAGACCTATAAGTGGCCGTGAGGAACTAAATATAAGTAGGGAAGAGTTAGGACATCTAAGAGACTTGCTTCATCTGAAATCTATAATAAGTATTGACTTCAAAAAGTCAATATTTGGCACAAAAATCTCTAGTAGGTCGGACAAATAGCAATCAATAAAACTCATATGTCTTAGAAGGGGGTCCATAGAGGCCAATAGTCCAGATCTTACCTTCATCACTGAAGGGTTTAATAGGTCGAAGACCAGACATGGATGAGGAAGTACTTGGCGAATCAGTTGAGGAGGAGTGGGAGAAAACTTGTTGGAAGAAGGCTGCAGAAAGAGCTTCTCCAGCCGGTTGACGCTCCGAGGGGCTGTAGACTAGAAGAGCTCGCAAGAGGTCGAAAGCGTCATCACATTGTGTGCGGTTTGTGATGAGCTAAAGTTAAAAGTTAAACACTTTTAGCGCTAGGTCGGTCTCCCAAATTACGATTTTTCTTTGTGTCGACAAACAAAAATAAAACATACTTGGGTGAAATTATCAAGCATTTTCCCATGACAAAGAAATTTTCATTTTATGTTGCTTTCTCACTACTATTGAAGGTAACGATTACACCTTGAACTAATTATTTCAACAAATGAGAATGATATACTAGAGAATAAATTCTCGCCAATAACAATGAGAACTGGTGCTTTACCTTCTTCTGATTTGAATATCGCATGGTAGGTCACAAATGTGCCCGGTTTGAACTGAAGAGCACAAGCCTTGAGAGAAGTTAATCATTGTTTTAAACTTATCCACAAATAGGTAGGCATTAGGCACTTTAAGCTAAAATTACTTTGTAGGAAGTCTATTAGATGAAGAGACTGCAAGCCATAAAAGTCTATGAGCCTAAAAGTACGATGGGTAGAAAGATGAATAGGAAAAAGGTGATAGGAGGCAGCCATCTTGGCACACAATGGGATAAAGCCAGATGGGACTGCGATAAAATCTATCTCATATCTAGGCGTACCACGGGTCCACTAATCAATGGCCGGCGAAATTTTCAACTTAGCTTGACTATTCTTTTTAGAATCAGCATGTTTGGGGGTTTAAAACCCTGTTGCTCAAAACCAAATTTCGGCATTAGGACCAAAATTAATTGGAAAGCAAATTGAGATGAAGAAAGTGCTATTGCCATTAACTCTTGGCAAAAGCAAATGGGACTGCAAGAACAATAATATGGCTTTCAAGTAAATACTTTTTGGCAAGAAATTCCAAATTCCAGAAGAGCGGACACCATTAGCAGAGAACTTAACATTTAGAGAACCTCAGTTGGAAGTATTTACAGTTAAAGAAAAGTAAAATAACTTTAGAGTAGTGCTTGAACTTCCTCCCTCATTGGGAACTTAAAATCGACGAAATTAAAGGACAGCCAAGGCTTAAACAAATTCAATAAACAGATAATCACTTAAAGACATAATGCTTACCTTCTCCCATGGGCAAGACTTGATACTCGGAAAGACAAATTTGCTGTATTGTGGATTCATCTCCTTTACTTGTTCAAAAGTAGGAGTTCCAAGGACCTTGATAATCTCTACAAGCTGATCGACACCGGAGTCCCCGGGGAACAGAGGCCTTCCCAACAAGAGTTCACCAATCACACACCCCGCTGACCACATATCGATCCTCACAGTGTATTGTGTGGCGCCGAAAATTAACTCTGGAGCACGATAGTAACGCGAACAGATATAGGATACATTTGGCTCACCTGGGACTAGAACCTTCGTGCTAAAAATTCAAAACTACTTATAGTTTTTCAGTAAATATTAAACAGATGAAATGGAAAAAGAGAAACTAACCTTCCAAAGTCACAGATTTTTAGAACCCCAGTTTCAGGATTAACAAGGAGATTTTGTGGTTTTATATCCCGATGACAGATATTTTTGTTATGAACATAAGCCAGTCCGCGAATCATTTGAAAACTATACAGCTAAATAGTGATTATAAATAACATGACACTTTATACGGCAAAATAAACAATCAAAATATGAATGAGAAGTGTAAAAGAATCCCCACCTTGACATAATTCATGGGAATAGGTTGTCTGACATGCCAATAGTGTTTAACAACACGACTTAGGGCTTGAGGAACATATTCTTGAACCAAATTTAAGTAGGTATCCTTGGGTTTCTGCAAATGTGAAGTAAAGAATAATTGATTAGATTAATTTATCCCTATGAGATAAAAGTTGATTTCTCTCCCAATACGCAAAAAAAATAATTTTACCTTGCGCATCTTGCAAGATGCGCACGGGCAAAAAAATTTGTCATAAATTTGCCAGAGGCTGCGATTCTAACCTCAAAGCTGACCTGCTTTGCGCGTACAGCGATGTAAACTTGACGTAAATGTGTATGCCGAAATCTATTTTTTTAATCGTATTTATTAAACATAGGAGTAAACTGGAAAGTCAAATTTATTGGCAAGCAGCTCACTTCAATTACATAATGAAGCAATTTGAAGTCAACGCAACGAATAGAAAATTAAAAAAAGAAACGGCAACAAACAACCTTACAGGATTGTTAGGACTTTTGCAAGATTCGCTCTCAATTTTAGACGAACATCGCTGAATTATTTAATATGCAGTGATATTTTCGCACGAGCAATAAATTACCAGCAAAGGCAAGATCTAGATCTTACATTAACGCCTGAAGCTTCCACATCCTTATTTAAGTCTGGACCCTGAATGTATTAAAAAACGAAATCAGTGGTCTAACAGATCAGCTTACAGCAAAACGAGGGTTGCAGAAATATCGAATTAAGCGTAAGGTTTTTCCTAATTAGGAAGCTTTATTTAAATTTTACAAGATCACATTGGGTTGAAATAGAAATTTGAGGAAATCAGTAAAGAAACCTGTTAAAGCCAACACCCTTACAGACCAGCTAGAAGCTTCCTTCAATCCGTATTCAGCTTTAGATGAAATTCGCTAAACGATTTAAATTCAGTTAGGACTATCGAAATAAAATAAAAAGCAGAAATTGGGCAACATTTCATTGGTCTTACGGAATGTTTGCCAGATTCCAGACCTTTGTTTGAATCTGACTCCTGAGAATTGTTCACATAATATTTACTTATTAACATAAGGCACAAAAAACGAGAGCAAAGGGTGATTTTTGCTAAACAAGCTTACAGAACTCGCAACTGAGTAAAAGTAATAAATCAATGAGACGATATTGGGATGCCTAAGTTCGCGCAAAATTTGCAGTTCGCGATTCTAAAATTCAAAACAAAGTACCATTACAAGAAACTGTGCGTCGGAGGTATCAAATTTGAAGTTATTTTAAGCTACTTTATAGCGTTTGTCTTGAAGAACTTTTTTAATGGCGACTTCTCGTTCCCCATCTAAGAGAGCAACAAAGACCATACCAAAAGAGCCACTTCCAATGACTTTCGCGTTGTTATACATAATTTTTCGGTGCTCTCCAGTGACGGCATCCACAGCATCGACGTACACAGGTTCGTTACCTTGAAAAAAGATAAGTAATGTAAAGTGTTCAAAACAGGTTCAAAAAAGAAAACGCAAAAATATCAAGGTTTCTAGCATTTACCTGTATTGGCATCAAGTTTGGAATTTTGTCGCAGTAGACCTTTAAATAATATAAAATATACTTAATATATATCCAAAAACTATTCATGAAAATAATATTATTAATCAAAAACTCACGGGGTATTTTAGAGGAAGAATTCCGACAGCTTTCATTGGATGGGGTAATTTCTTTTCTTCCAGACATAATGATGTAGTAATCGAGCTACGCTACAACAATTGGCATTATTATGTTAAATGCGTCCTTAAACGCGGCGGTCAGCATAGCTATCCTTTGTGAAAACATAAACAAACACATGCGGTTTAAAATGGAGGCCTTTCATTAAAGTTAATCATCAAGCAATTATTGTAATGTTATTTCTTATGATATAATTATGCCAGTAAAAGAGTACAATTTTGAACTTTTGATTTTTTGTGTGATCTAAATTTATCGTGACAATAAATTAATGAATATTGTTATTAATTACAGATTTAAGAGTTAAAGGCATATTTACTACTTCTTTTCTCGCATTTTTTTGTTTTGAACTTCATATTGGATTTCTTCATATATATCCCATTTTACAAATAAGTACCAATTTACATGGAACAAACTCTACTTAATACCATAACATAATAGAATGTCTAAACAACGGATTTCTCCAAAGCAATTCGGAATGCGAATTCTATTTGAAACAGTTTGGTCCCATAAAATTCGATTGTTGCCACGTTGACAATCTATTTATAAATGCCAAAATATTTGCTTAACATTTTTACTATTTTGGGAAGTTGTCCATATTTACTGAGAACGAAGTTAAGTTCTAAATTGATTTATAAGATATTTGCCACTAGTCTTGTGCAATTATTATTCTACTTTGTTACAATTTGTCACGCAGAATCGCTTTATTCTACTGGAGTATTTGTAAAGGTTTCTCTCACTTTTACCAATCCGAACAAGATCATCTAAAATTAAGTGTCGTACTGATTAAGTATTTTTTAAGAATCTGTTTTATTCTTCCAATGACAAATAGAAGGCTGAACATTTCTAAATTTGGATCTTCATTCATATATAGTCAGATTTGATTAATTACCTAATGAAATAGGTAATTGTATTACCTTTTTTTCAAGATTGGGGTTAAGTGATCCTAATTACGATCTTATAACATTTCAATAAATCTTTAAGAACGTGACTCCATCCTCAACCACATTATGACCAAAAAATTTTCTGTGCCATCTTTTTCTCTATTTCTCAAAGGATTCGCAAAGCGTCATCTCCCCGCAAGATCTGTCCAAAAAACCTGCAGAGTGAGAGTGAAGTTTGTGGATATGAAGGCACCGGGGTTGAATGATGCAACCTATTAGTCTTTATTGAAGTTATATTTATATCTGGAATTTAGGCCAAAGTATGAAACACACGGCTTAATCACCGCGAAAGCTTCCAAACTGTGACTTTCTGTTCGCTTTAAATCTAGTTAGATGGACATGTACGAATATTAAACTTTACATTGCCGGAGTAGTAACTGAACACGTCATAAGGTTGACAAATAAGCACAACTAAATATTCAAAAATATTTCTTGTTTATCATTGAGATAATCGTATGTCATGGGGTCAAACGTGAATTTCACCAGATTCAGTCATAAGCATTGCGGTTTTATAAGCCTTCAGCAGCTTTAGGTTAAAAAACTTTTGTGCTTTTTTGCGAATGAGATTTGTTATAAAGCATCAAAATAAGGAGTTTTAATATCACTCGCGAAGCAAACCTAGGGGGACATCACTTCCGACAAGTTTCATAGACAAATAATCGATTTTATTCACCCAACCCACTCTCTTCTAAAACCTTAAAACCTCCTACAGGCCTCAATACCTTGCATTTACTTAATGAATAATCTAATTAAAACCCAAATAAAGCGCTTGCACTATTTTACTATTAAGGCATCTACACACTCCAGGTGAAAAAGCGGAAAAACAAATCAATGAATGAGGATGTGAAAAAAGGATTGGGCGTTAAGCAGAGAGCAGACAGGAAAACAAGGCGTGACAGTGTAAACGATTTCTTAGTTTCGACAGATCTTGGTTCGATCCAAAATAGCCCGTCTAGTCCTTCTTCTTGTCTCCTCCATCACCAGTCAATGCAGTCAACTCTCGCTACAAGCAAAATAGAAAGGTTATAAAGTGCTTCAAAAGTTCTATCACTTAAAGTATAATTGCGAAGCCACTCTCTAACCTTGGTGAATTATATCTGAGAGGAATGTGATTAATACGACAAGAATTTAAATATAAGAATTTGAGAATCTCATCTCTACCGTACAGTAGGAAATATCATTTGTTTCCTCTTCAACTCGAAGAGGCAAGTCCGATGCTTCTTATTGCATTACTGTGTCGAATGGATATGAAATTGAGGCAGTTAGTTAGAAGGCTAATTTAAATAAAGATTCAGGTACTTCCGCTGATTAGTCATATGAAAACTTTGATACACGTTGTCAAATAGAAACATTATTGATAGCCAGAAAGTAATGAGTTCTACTACCAACTTAAACGTCCTTAGTACTAGACTGCATGATCTGCCTAAACATGTGATTTAACCATATTAAGGTGAGGTTCTGAGTGCAGACACATTGATAGAATAAAATAAAGAATGAAGGGGTGTTTGAAAAGTGAAGAGATTGGTACCATCAGTTACGAACCTCGCATTCTGCACACCATAAAGCTTTCTAGGTACGGGACATAACTAACACAAACTAAGGTATTGAGTGTACTTTCTTCAGAAAGAAATTTTTGCAAATAATTTTTCTTTACCTGCAGTTTTTGGCACTCAGCAGAAACACGATCATACTCCTTTGCAGTCTGTTCTGCCTGTTTCTTAATAGCGTCCAATTTGTTTTCAGCAGATTTACGAGCTACAATGCGGAGCAAGCGACTTAGCAAATCCAAGTGAAATAACGTGTGAGGCAAGTAAACTGCTCGATCTTACCAATCGACTCGGCTTCAAGTTTGGCCTTTAGAGCATCCCGTTCAGTAAGCAGAGCGGTGTTATCCTGCTAGACGTGGAGAAAATAAAAGACACTAAAATAATCAATTCAAAATACTAATTGAAGTATAGTTTGCTTCACTATTTGTATTATATGGTAGGATAAATTTCAGTTGGACTCAAGACTTTCATACCCTGGCAAATGCCACCAAATGTCAATACTGGTATGCATTCCTCAATATTTTTTCTATTTCAGATCATTTGTAAGACAGTGACTGTATAATTCGGCATTTCATTTAATACACCATATGAGAGACCAACTGCAGACACGACTAGGTGCACACCGTGAATTTATTTCCCCAACCAATGATTGAGTGACTACTGAGTTCATAAGATGCCCATTGATTCAATCAATTTAAGTAAATATTTTGACCATTAACCCTTAGTCTTAATGTGCTTGTCAGCTTGAATTTTCTAAGACTTGAGATTTAGTAGAAAGCAAATTGGTAGAGAAGCCAAATGTAGCCCTTATTGATCTTCCAACTAAGACTCCACTAGTAAAAGTATAAGAATTAGTGCAGTACCCAAACAGTTGAATAACATAAAAAATGCATTAAATAGAACAACACACAGGCAAGCAAGCAATCATGCAAGCCATGCGATTTTTTATAAAGGCAGTGGACTCAATCGATACTGGAGTAAATGGATCATCATATTGACATAATGAGCATAACGCAAAACCGATATTACAGTATATGAACAATCTTGTGATCACTACAGAAACATAATACTAATTTCTGTAGGTGATAATAGTATTAGGAGTCAAAAACCAAGCAACCATCTATAGAGTTCATGTCCACAGAAAATTGGAGTTAAGATGGAGTGGAGTGTGAAAATTAGGCAGAAGTGAACAACCCGAAGAAATTATGGTAAGGACTTATCTGTTGTTCAGATCTCATCATGCTCCATATCCACTAAAGCTATTGAATGACCCTATTCCTAACACCATCTATTTACCTCTTTCTCATAATTATAACAATACCTCTTTTAAGGCACAGATGGTAATACGGCTGCACAAGTCCATTAAACGTGCCACTTAACTCGTGAAAGAATTTCTAAAACAAATCTAAAGCTAACTCGAATCAATTATTGATCTTATTTCTTGCAAAACATAAGTGAACGGCTCAGTGAATAAAATTCAATACTAAAATCCACCCAAAGAGGGGTACTCACCTTAGAGGCGTCACCACTGTCTCCATGTTTCTTTGCAGCATCATTCATTAGACGCCTGGCAGCCTCGGAAGCAGATTTTGCCTGAGCCAATGATGCCTCTCCTGCAGCGGTTACCCGGGCATGATCAGCGATCAGTCTTACCAAACGGTTGAAAACGCTAAAAAAAGACAGACACAATCCAACTTTGATTGATTTGTATAAAATAACAACGGTGCCCTGGGTGCAAAATTGACTCGATTAGATATGAGAAAGTATTAGGATTTCGCGGAAGAAAAATCTAGTTGAATAAAACTTTGAGAGAAAATGAAGAAGCTAGTATTTTCGGAGATTTTGCAAGCACGTATTTTTCCCGGAATTCGGAAATCCTCAAATCAGCCAAATCACAAATCTTAGAACACTAGAAAATGAGGCACTCGATGAAATACCATATGAAAACAAGAAATTTTAGTGAAAAGACGCTTAAATGAGGATGAAAGGTAAACACGCCTAACCTTGATTATAGACCGCTTGTGACCTAGTTCTGCACAATAACTCAAAAGATGCTCTAATAAACAAATAATCAGTAAGTAAGCAGTTAAAAGGGTTATTAGCAAAATGTGTAAATACTATTTCATGACCACAAACAATTGTAATTTAGCACTTCTGCCCTAGTTAAAGTAGTTGTAGATCCAATAAAAATGCACCAATTTGGATGCAGATTACAAGTAAAGTCATGTATTCAAGGTAAAAAGGAGTTATGGCCTTGAAAATTGCTACATACGATATTTATTTGGCTAAATGACACGTAAGCAGCGATTTCTGCTTGGGCGGATTTCTACCGCTGCGCAGCAACGAAATAGTAGAGCCGGTGCCCAATGATGATGTTATGCCACTTTCAACAATTCATCCTATCTGGTTTGAAACCAAGATGATATGTGATGTAAATACTATGCGAAAAAGTTAATAGTGTTAATTATTGAAAACTACTAAAATTAAAAATGAATTGTGGATAATTTAACAAGACAGATATTGACAAAAAGCGTGCAACAATGAACTTTTAACCAATGATTCTCATGTGATTTCATCAGAAATCATTTTCAATATTAAAAAATGACAAAAGGGAATGAGTAAAGCTACTTGACAAATTGATAGCTACGGATGGGGAGTTTGCATCTAGCATAACTGATGCTTCAATTGGAAATGCAATTATTCAAGATTCCATAAGCACACAAGCACTAAAATTAGTGAGATTTAACAGCATATCAACAGTTCACTTTCATTCTAACCCAATTTGCAAGGATTGACTAAATGACCCAGACTGCCACCTAATGCATTTTCACTTGATAGACTCGAATGCGTATTCCTTAATCCTTAATCTATTAATCACATCCTCGATGACTTCTTAAATGCTTGCTTTATGAATGCGTCATTTCGGAGCTTTCCTATAAAAAAAAGTTTAGAAGAAGCATAGGTGAGAACGACCAATTCATGAAAAAAAAACGCATCCTTCAAGACTATGTTCCAACAAAATTGTTCAAGGCTTCTTATTACTAAATCAGGTTGACAACGATTTCGGGGAATAAACAGGTGGAATCATCAGTCAGTCGTGACTTGTGATAAAAAGTCCAAAACGTGAGAACCACCTATAAAAAGGACATTTTAAAAAAGATCAGCATAAGTAGCAAAAGGGGAAAATCTTATGATAACAAAGGCCTGATTAAAGCGAATGCAGAAAGCCAAAAAATTACAGATTTGGATTTATGTTCAGAAATGAAAGAGACAAAGATTGAGGCATAGGATTGACTCCACTATCTTAAATAAGTCCATTATTACTTAGGATATCTTAAAAATGATGGTAATTCGCAACTTATCCAAATGCCCAGTTTCAATGTTGCCATTTCAAATATAAAAAACGGAAAATCGTTCGTCTTGTTACCATTTTTTTAGAAATATGCTACATAACTAGGACATGGTACAAATTTATTGAACACATTAGTGGTAGTCAAACTTCGAATTCTTATTACAATTGGGGGCGAAAATTAGATTATTTAAAATGGTACGATTTGTTAATCGTGATATTATAAAGGAAATGTGAAAATCTACCCCAGTTTGCAAGCAGATAATGGCTTCAATGGGTCGTTCAGGAAAAGTAACCCAAACATAATACTACTACCCCACTTGTACAATTAAATACGATCTCATAAATCCTTTCTTTAAATTATAGGGAAATAAATATGTCCATTGAAGAACGAAATGACATAAAGAATTGAAAAAAATTCCTTATGAGTTTAAAATATTTAAACCAAGGTCATCACCAATTTCTGGGACCTAAGTAACTCGACCTCACAGCATCGCTTAAAATTTTTGACCCTACCGTGACCTCAAGGCTGTTACGAAAATCACAGTGATACTTGAAGTGATTAACGCCTTGGTAACCTCGAATTTCCTAAGAGGATCATCGTACACAGTTAAAAGTGTTATTTTAATTAGTGGGATAGGCCATTAAAATGATACCTGGGGTTCAGTCTCCACAATCAATGATGTCTGGAAATATTTAATTGTTTTATACTATTCATTAATGAAATTAATGCAGCCGATCTAATACACACACGTACGTGCGTATGTATGTAAGTGCATACGATTGTTATTTATCGGTTCGTAAGTTTCACTCCCATCATTACCTTACTATATCGCACAATCACACTGGTTTGTACAACACCGTTACTTCACAAAAATAATTATCAGACAAAAATTTCTAATGATAATTAGGTCAAAAAGTGGGGCTAAATGGAACATAAAAGAGCATATAGAAGGTACAAAGAAACGCGTGGGTAATATCCACAAAATGAGAGCAAAATAAACCATTAATTAATTGATTAATGAACTATATAATGAGCAAATGGCATAGACTCACAACCAGAGAAAAAGCGCGAATCCCGAGATATAGAGATTTCTTTGAGCTCTGAAGAGTTTCATTAAATAGAGAGCTTCTGTACCAGCTTTAAAATTGGAGGGATCGGACTTGTATTCATGATACATTTCACTCTTGTCCCTAACCTGTCTCCACGCCTCTAAACGGGGGAGAATAAGGTTTTATTAAAATATCCCCAAATAATAAGAAACATAGAAAAGTGAAAGTACCAAACACTGTCAAACCGAGTGCAACAACACAAGCTCTAAAGTAAAACGAGGCGTATGAAGAGAACCAAGCGACGAAATTTGATTTGAAAAGGCGGTTCCATCTAAAAAAGTAATAACGCAGGTAAAAATGTTGAAACTACAAATCTAATAAGATGATGCTCAGCTCACACTCTCGAGGAAATGAAAGGTAGGAGAAGAATGGTTATTATGGCAATTTCAGCATAGAGACCGCTAGCTACCAGTACCCACATCAAAGACATTCTGAACTGTAAATCAAGAGAAAGCTGCGTTTATTGATATTTAATAAAGAAATTTTAGAATTATTTTTTCAGAATCAGAATGGCCTTACTTTAGCTTATAAGAGAAACAAGATATAATACGTGGTTCCCAATCGAACCTGCTTTCACAATAGAACCAGGTGATTAAGGTGTTTCAAATGCTTATAATTTACAAAACCGGTTAAAACGAAAAATAAAGTTATTTTTTTCATACAAAAGCTCAAAATGGACAATCAACTGATAATCTATTAGAAACTCCATGAATTGTTAGTTATATTTTTTAACATTTTGTTTTCATTCTCAGATTATTTATTAATATTTCTTCATGTGGATAATATGATTATCCAGAATCCATTGCTTAATTAAGTGTGTTTCCACTATCGCATCCCCCTTTTGAAAAATTTTTGTATTTTATTTATTTATTTGGTATTGGCCATTTTAACTCTCCCTTAATGGCAAATTTTTTCTAGGGAAAGCTGAACAAACTTATCCTTTTTATAAATTTTTAAAGACGTAATAGTTGAAACTCGAATAGAGCTGACGTTGAAATTCATTCATCGAACTATAAGTAATAAATAAATCGATTATTAACCGACTAACTACGTCTAAGCTCAATTTTATAAGTTGCTGTGACCATATTTCTTTGATTACAATATATTGGTAATAACATCACGATTAGACAAAGTTTATAAACAAAATTTTTGTGCTCCCCACACATTTCTTTTCTTTTTGTATTTGGTACCTGCTTCCAGAAATAAGTTGGTAATAACGGTTGACCGACTTCGCTTTTGCATTTGCTGTTAATGTGTTGATCATATATCGTTCTGAGAGTATTAACAAGTCAATTTTATATCAAGACATTATATTTAGGCATCGATGAACGGCTACATCCTTTTTATTTCTTTATCAGAAACTAATGCCTCAAAGCAGGTATGCTGTGTTTCCTATTTAGATTCGAATAGCATTTGTCGCAGGTGGCGTGGGTACAAAAAAGGTAATATCAGTGTGTAATTAAAAATAACCTTTTATTAAGAAAAATACCTGTTGTTTAAACACCGGCCTTCTATCAAGGAAACTAATATGGTTATAAAAGCTGGGAACGGGAGGTAAATTAATCGTTAACTCCTAACCAAAAATATTGGAATCGGCTTCTCAATTAGAGCGTGCACTTTGGTTTTCGAAACAGTACTGTACGCCCTAATACCATTTGGATTGAGCTCACCCAATTATTTTGCTATCAGATCGAATGTCACCACAACTGCAAGCCCATCTTGCACGATCAGAGTAAACCGCCTATTAATTCATCCATTGATGCTTTCGTGAGAATTTTCTTCTCTCGTAAACATGAATTATCAGTTGACACCCGCTATTCTGATCTCAGAGTCTTGGATGAATAAAAGCTATTTTTGCCACAGCAAAAGGATGAGTCTGCGTATTCGTTGCATTTCCAATTATCACATGCTCAATAAAAGGATTTTGTTTTTCTCTCTATCACAGTATTAATTACTTTCTCACTTCACTCTGTATTTAAATGTAACCCTGATCTACCCGTGAACTCACTTTTCTGAATCCAAACAAGCCTCTGTTTTCGTAACTAATTGGTGGATTTTCTGCATTACAAAATGCTCAAAATTAAGTTAACGTAGTAAACGTCCACACGCGCTAACCATTCTGAAACTTGCAGTTCAAATAGATTTTCAAACATATTTTAATTTGAGGGTAAATTCTGAATATTCTCCTATTTTATATCCAGTATCTGTCAAACTAGACTTCTGTACAACATTCAATACAAAATTCCTTTTAAAAAGCAATCTAAAAATAATTACCAAAATCAAAGAAGCTTCATCGGTTTAGGACCTTTTAAGTTTCTTTAACATACGGAGGAATAGGGATTGCGTTAAGAGAGTACCAACGTGTGTAGACTTGTAGGTGGGAAAAGTGGGTAAGTCTAATAGAAAAATCATAATGTATGGAAAACAATGACACAAGCAGATTTAAAACACCATGGCAGAGATGAAGAAGTCATAGGCTTAAGAAACCCCAAGCCGAAAAACAGGGGGTGTTGAAAAACGATATGCGCATAAAGGCCACACTTAACGGCGATAAGGTCAAGGTCATTAAATACGGTTAATTTTTTCTACTTCAGATTGGCAGCTTTTGAAATGTACGGTGGATGAAGTAAGATTCAACTTTATAAGAAAACTGAAAATTACAATAAATAAACTTCAATAATTGAACTTTGAAATTTTCGATAACTGTCAACTTTCATAACCCATCTAATGCATATTTTCAAATTTATTAAAATGTTCTATCGTTCTCCTCAAGTTTGCCTTATTCGAAGTTTGCATTTAGGCCATTTTAGCTATTGAGAGTTTTATACGAGTGACGCATTCCAAATTGATTGAATGTGTCTGTCGATTTGTGCTTGACATCGAGGTGAACCATGTTCATAGGCCGTGGAACAACCAATTTGCTTCCATTTTCTTACCTGCGTTTAAAATTACTGTTAACCGCTTTTCAGAGCTAAAGCACCTATCCCACAATATATATCTTGCATAGGTTAACGAATTTCGTAGGACTCCCTTCGTTACCCCCTAGTTATTTTGGGTTCCGATTTGTCTATTACCAATCCATAAAAATCATGATAAGATCCTAATAAGAGGTATTATAAACATTTCACCTCTGCGGAGTCTTTGTTAACACATTCCTTCATATTTAATTAGCACAAAAAAAGTAAAATTTTCATTGGCTCAGATAGCTTGGGTTCTAAAAAACAATTTGTGGAGATATGAAAATTTAAATATCTCCTGCGGTTACACTATTACCAAATATATTTGAATTTAACTCAACAATCTACGAATCTAGACACTCACACACTAAACTTGAGGAGAGCGCAGCATGTGAGACCAATGAAAATGTCATCTTCAATTAAATTACTCCAGTTTATGATGAGATTCAAGTTTCGCCAAAGGCCATCTTGCAACGTGCTCACGTCATTTTGCGATTAAACGCCAAGAGAGATATCATGTTGACATTAGAATATACCTCTGAACTATGGTCATGTCAATCATTTAATTTCTTCTCCCAAATCCTAATAATGCTATCAGACTATTTCAAAAGCTTTTATCAACTCAAATATTATTGATATTCAATTGTACACTAGCACCGCTACTAATTCTGGAGGTAGCAAAGCCGCAGGTGTACTAGAAGTAGGCACACAATTCTTGCTGAAATCAAGTTAAATTGCCATGCCATACACTCTGAGTGGATGAATGGGAAGCCGAACCGTTGGATATCACTGTGACCATTGGCTGGAACAGTATAAATGCCGACCTTATCACAGCTCACTCATAATAACTAGGGGTTTGCGGTCATAAGTGAGAGTTAGCTATAACTTCACACAATTTGTATTCTTTCCCTGTTATTCCTTATATTCAATTGTAGGTACTGATGGACCAGAATCAGACCGTAAAAGCTATGAATGCCACTATCAACCAACAATAGCTAACGATACTTCTATAAAGTAGAGGACAAAGAGTTGTGTTTATAAAATAAACTGCAATGAGAATTCGAGGGAAAGTAGGGAGGGGGGGATGGTGAGGGTGATAGAAGTTTAACAGGCAGCATACATACAAATGGTGGGAATTCAAAGACTGTTAATATGAGTCGCTGAGGGACGTAAGTGAGGGTTTGAGTATAGGGTATTTTAACTGAAGCAGGAGAGATTTAAAGAATGGTAAACCGATAAAACCGTCTTGATACGACAGATAGGGGCTTAAGCCATATGAGAACAAAGAAACCACTACGGCTTTGTGGACAAAAGTATCTGGCATAGAAAATGTGATTAAGGGAAAAGTTAGGAAACATCTAGGGGCGCCCTTCGCATCCTTCATACAATTCATCGAATTTTTAAAATTACGTATCTTCGGCTATTTTTTATTTGAGATGCCATCTATCAATGACTCTGAGTACCAGGGAGGTCAGTCACTTTCTAAAAGCAGTGCCTAAAATTGAAAGATAAGTAGAATCTAAATACCATTATCTCTATAACTTATATTTACTTAATTTCTATAACAGCTCTGTTTGATTAATTTGCATTACTTATTCCCACTGCAGATTTTAGGTCACCGACACCAACACGAGGGAAATGCGTCTTACCCTCTTTGCTGCCCCCAATTAAGGGACTATTACTACTAAATCGCACATTTTTTCCTTATTCCATATGACTGTTCCGGCTCATATCAATCTACACAGAGATTTTACATAACTAATTTTCCTAATTGATTATTATTCACCTACCTTCTAAAGGAAATCGATAATACGCCCTTCAAAGTTGCATTTTATTTAGTTCAATAAGTTACAAAATGCATTCCACTTTCTTTTTATCTATCAGCGAAGTTCGAAGTTAATATCTGTTTAATCAGCGTCATCATCTTCCAATGCTTATGAAATTAATAGTCAATCTACTAACAAAGTGAAATAATTGAATATTCTCAAGACATTAAACAAAACAGCATGTGAGACGGTTTTACATAGGGCTTGTATTCCATTTGCAATAATCTGAACGCAAGATGAATTTGTAAATAAATACCCCATGCAAATGAGTAAATAACGATAATAACTAAAAAATCGCCAAAAGTTAGATTTCTAGTAGGAGTGCTTGCAAATAAATCATTTCTTTTTGCACAATCAGAAATGTAGAATTCATGAAAACCATGTAGAACTCAAGGTCATATGTATTATAATTAAATCCTGAGCGCTTTAAAAATATCATACTATTGGCGTTCTCCCTCAAATTTTATTTCTAAAGAATTTGTTAAAATAAAATTATTTCAATATTTTCAACTCCAGACAAGCCTATTATGGTCCACTTGGCCTTACACCAGTTTTTTACCTCAAATATGCATGCGTGGGTTTACCCAGTTAGTTGGCGGTTGCACAAATCCCGATGAATAATCAAAATACCCTCTAATATAAGATTCAAGTGCTTTCATTAAAGTTTAGTAATACGGGCTGTTCACAAGTTTTTTGGACATGTTAGTTGCGATCCTGCATTTTACTAAGTAATTCAGATAAATTTGAACTTACTTTGAAATTTTGACTGTGCTAGCAACATATTAAGTGTCATTATCTGTATAGGGGTGACTTTTGCATCACTCATTTTAATCCAATAATAAAGCTGTTTTGAGTGTTGCCGATATAGACTCCCTCAATGATGAATGATTAGAACTCTGCACTCAGAGAAATTGGAGAGGTCGAACCGACTAGTCCAGCATTCAGATGAGGCAAGACCTCAGTGTGACCTTCATTACTATCTCCACATCTACTCAAAGCCCTTCGTCACGTTTCAGATTATTCTAGTAATATCCGCACATTGACGATTTATAATGATTAAAAATTGCATATTTTCTTTGTTTAGACTGATAATTGATTGAATTGGACCAGTTTTAAAGCAGAAATTAGAATAACCTCGAAAAAGAACTCGATACGTATTTTGACGTGAACAGTGCACACATAGGAAAATAAGGCGCAATATGAACCAGTATCGTCAGAGCAATTTGAGTGGCATCTTTCAGTTGATATTGTTAAAAAGTGAATCAATTCTATTTGTTTTAAATTTAGCCTACACACTATAAACGGGTAAGTGGTAGGTATTTATATTTGTGCACTTTTCACGAAAATTAATTTAAGATTTTTAAAACATGAGAAACATTTAGCATTAATAATTGGATTTGAACAGATTTATGACCAATAAACGTAAAAGACGTTACATCATTCTGACCCTTACAAACAATAATATCAACAATTAAAAGTCATCTTATTTTCTTTTAAATAATATTTTTCACCTAAGTTTTCTAAATACTATTTTACACCACTGATACGACGTCCTACTTGACTATATAAACGGAAAACTTGTTCATTAAATATAATGAAAATATGGGGACAATAGGGAACCAGAAACAGGTTAAGCACTCAATTCAATAAATTCATAATCAAATCATCTTTTTGCAAAAGTAGGTTCTCGCATTTTTCGTTGACACGACCTAATGACGTTAGTAGTTACTCCTCATACGGTGGGGGAGAAACGTCGGGATAAAGTGGGGGCAATGGAAACTGAATTTCTGCGGGTAAGGGTGATCTTTTCACGTTTTCCATATCCTCTTCGCCTCCTTCAACGTTACTTCCCAATCTGTCGTGAACCGCGAAACTTGTGCCTGGCAATGGCGATCTATCGTTTGGCGTGGGATAAGGCAATGGCTGATTTGATACGGCTTCCTCAATTGGAGCACTTGGAAGTGGAAATGCATCGCGGTCCCCACTATCGATTGCTACGCTGCTCCTGACACTTACTCTTGAGAGCTGCCTGGTTGGTGGTGGACGTTCAGCCATCTCAACTGGGGAAATAACCGGAGCACGTCGTTTCCGAACGCAACCGGGCTGCCGTGGGTAGGGTTTCTAAAGGTTACCGTTTTAACTGAATTGTTATACAGTAATGTGCATTTATACGAAGTAAATTAGTTAACTACGTAGTAACTTGGCTCCTGGAAAAAAAACAAATCAAACCCAAGCGATGATAAACCTAAAATTGTGCACAAGAATTCGGTTTATGCTAGGACCATGTTTGTGCAATAATTACGCGAATTTGCTTTTTAAGTAAAAAAATCTATTTAACTTACGGATCGCAGCTGGTCTGCTTGTTTTGGAACATAAACTTTGGATTCCGAAATTGTATAGATAAGTCGGAAGAAGAGATTTCCAGATATGATTGAGGTAATTAGAGCAAGATTTCCAAGTACAATTAGAATGTAACCAGCTAGGTTTAAATAACTAGAAATCAAACGAAAGAGTTAAGATTTAAACTTTAAAATGGTGGCAACATTGCATCTTTTCTGAAACTTGCAAGACGCGACGACCAGGATGCAGGGTGGCCAGGTATATACCAGCAGCCAGAAAAATTGCCGTTAGTAGGCAGAAGATAATGAAAACTATCTTCAAATTTCGCCTGAACCGTTCCTTTTTGGCGAAATCGGCTTCTGTTGGTCTTATAGGTAGTCGTGAAGTAGGAAAGCCCATTGATCTACAATTGGTGCCAACTTTTACTCATTTAAGAACATTTGATAAAAATAAAAATAAACTAACCGTACCTACCGATCTGGAGGCGCATGTATCGAAGCCTGCTGTATTGTAGTGGCGATACAGGTATTATCACACAGCTTAAACTCTCTCAGACTGAAGAGCCAATCATTATAGACCCAATAGTGTCAGTAATAAAACACGATTATTGGTTCTCAGTGGCCTCAACAATCTACTGGCTGGTAAACAGGCGTTAACGCTCACATACATGTAAAGTGAAGATCTAGCATGGCTTGCCTCTTCCAGCAACAATATCCATAATAATCACATACTTCGATTATCTTGAAGTGGTTAGAACGTATTTGTTAAGCCAATGAACTTGTTGGAAAATTAAAAAAAACTGGAACATAGGTCATTATTTTATTAGTCTGAAATATTCTAAAAGGGGGCATTATTTACAAAGACAGAGGGGAGGAAATAAATGTCACATTTTTTATCCATCGGCAAAATTGAAGCAAAAACCAAGGGAATTGTACCAATAAGGTTGCCCTGAAAGGTGGTAAAGGGAACATGGTAAATTTTACAAAACTACTGAAAACGATATGAGTAGACTGCAACTCAAATAATGCAGCTAAATCTATTTAAATAATCCCGAGAGAAGGAATCGAACAATCTTCAAGCCAAAATATATCGAAATAACGCCACCAAGAAGAGCTTGTTGTTGTTCCAGAGAGTGTAACCGTGACGTCAACCTCGCAACATGTATTTCCAAGTTATTTAATCGATTTTCTGTTATGCGTAGTCGATCAACGGGATTCCGACGAGAGACCAGAGTACGCGTTTCACATATTTGTAATTGGTTAGGCGTTGTTATAGAAGCATCAACTGCATCATGTGCTTTACTGGTTGGCCTGTAAAACAAGAATTACAACTTATTAGTGAATGTTAGCAATTATATAGAATTTCAAGAACCTTGGGGGTTAATAACAATAGATCTAAGAAATAAACCCACCGATAAGATTTAGTCAAGGTTAACTAATTGGTTAAGGGGGGGATACAAATCAAAGCAACCATGGCAACTCCGAGCTGACAACATGGAAAAAGATGACCTAAACCCGTTGTAAAATATGCTCAGTGTTAATTACAGTCAGTAGGATGCTCCCAATTAAATTTGGCCCAGGCATAATGCTATTTCAATAAAATCAAGTGGCTACTTCGGGAGGTGTTTTTAAACTCGCTAAGTAGGAAGGCGTAGGACAATTATTAGAATCACAATGACAGCGTTTGAACAAGAAGTGGTTGCCAGTACAAAAAAGTCAAACGTTGCTTACAGGATTTGCTCAAACAAAAGGATTCTAGAGGGGAGGGGGATATTAGAGACGTTGGCAAGACACTCATTACAATTAAATTGGTGTGTGTTATTCCAGTTTAATGGATTCAAGGATCCTCTGAATATTGTTTTCCACATTCTCACCGAAGGTACCCTATAGGTGAAAATTAAGGCTTCATTGTTGTTCTATTTTGTAAAAGTATGAAACAGCTAGAAACAGAATAAGCGAATTCATTTGCGTTCATAACATTCGACTGGTCATTTTTAATATGTAGGCGAATTTTAAAGTCAATGAAAATTGTAC